ACATATACAGCAAACGTTTTACACTACCAAAACAAATAACACTTGGTACACAAATCTGACATGGGCACCTAAGGCAACCTACTTAGAGTCACTTTTGATCGAAGGCTACGATGGCATTTACATGTCAGGCGACTACAGGAATACAGCACAGAAGTACACTTGAGCTGGAACAGAACAAAGTTCTACGGCTCATAACACGCCCTCCGTTATGGAAACGGTTGAAAGTAGTGAAGAAGGAACTTGATATCGAGTCCTTCACTCAATGCTTGAGACGGCTTTCGTTTAACGAAGCCTATCAAGCCTTTCAAACCGAAGCTCCGGCAACTCTAAAACAATTAGCTCGACACGTCCTTATAATGGGGAATAGAAGACAAGCACTCCCCTCTGATATTCTAAGGGCGTAGTGCAACACAAAAGCCGATTTGGCGACCGTCCAGATGACGCAATCCACGCAGAAAATCCCGGCATATGATGCAATATTCGTTACAGTGTCATTATTACTTTTATTATTAATGTTATTTTTATTATTATCGCTGTTTTTCAGCTGTTTTTATTGTTTATATGATTATTACTGTACCATTATTATTATTAATATTATTATATAATTTGCATGTTAGCTATATTATCTTGTTTATGTAACTAGTTGCCACCAGATTATGCCTATTTGCAGTTCAAATAACTTTACCATTATCTTATAACCCGATGGCAGCTTAATATAAAAGTGATTCTAGGTCCGTCAGCTGATAAGATCGTTAGTCCCGTAAGTGTATTGCATGTTTCTACCTCGGGAGGTAGCGGTGACCTCCCACGCTGGAATGTGAAATCCGACGTCGACCTTCCTGTCGGCCAGCGGGATTTCCCAAACTAGTGTGACGTCATGGATACTCACAGCGAACACAGACACAGAGCTTTCATATAACAAATATATTTATTAACAAAGAAAACACAACAAATATTTACAATTAATTTCCTTCTCATACCCTAGCTCTGATAGACCTACTATCCCCTGATCGCGGGAGCGATCCAAACCCGATTGATGATCGGTTTCGATTGTGGCATTCGCCACTCCTACTTCTGAAGCGCGCACAAAGCCTAGCTTCCGTGACCGGATGTCACACTGGGACACAAAGTCCGTACTGGCGTACCAACTGATGGTTTGCCTTGATCGCAGGAGCGATCTTACCCGATTGAGAATCGGCGTGAATCGTGGTACTCAACCACTCCTCATTTCGGAGCACGCACACAGCATCGCCCCCACGTGACCGCAGTCACCCAAGGACACTAAGTCCTCCACAGGCTCGTCAACTCGTGACTTGCTTCGCGAGCCTGGCCCGCATATGCACCGTCGTAGCGCCACGTTTTGTGCACATGTACGAGGTTCTCCCACTGTTTCTAGAACCCACCTACTGTCTCTGTGCACTTCGTTATATAGTCGAGGCTCACGTGATCTACTACGTCACGCCACCCCCACCGCTATACTAACGATTAAGGGTTTCTAAAGACCGGAAGACCCCAAAGCTTTGTGTCTCCCGTTTCCGCGTTTTTGCTTTACGGAAAAACCCTTCTCTCCTTCCTGTGGCAAGGAGTTTCCTCTTACTAATCCCTTACCAAGCGACCCCAAATAGATGCCGGCTAATACGTTACACTAGATATCTTCCATCAGCGGGAGAACGTCCAAGCCTGCACGAGCACTGCGCTCGCGACTAGTCACCCGGCATGCATGTGAATGGAAGAGATGAAGATTGAACAAGTCCCGCTTGTTAGTGTGTTGCTCCGGCATTCGCCTAGTGGGCACAGAAACCACGGAAAAAACTATCGATCACATCAGCCTGCCGCTAGGATTCTCTTCCAGACAGCGACTGAATTCGATGTAGCTTTGTGACTAATGTCGAAAATCCTTTCGCCATCGGGACTCGAACCTACGATCTCTCGGTCAGAGGCACTGCAGCGACATTAGTTGACGCTCCGAGTCTCCTCTCGGTCTCTGCCCGCCTCTTCCCCCCTCTCTCTCAGTCTCTCTCTGTCTCTCTCTGTCTCTCTCTCTGTCGGTCTCTCTCTGTCTGTCTCTCTCTGTCTGTCTCTCTCTGTCTGTCTCTCTCTGTCTCTCTCTGTCTCTGTCTGTCTCTCTCTCTGTCTCTCTCTGTCTGTCTCTCTCTGTCTGTCTCTCTCTCTGTCTCTCTCTCTGTCTCTCTCTCTGTCTCTCTCTGTCTGTCTCTCTCTCCGTCTGTCTCTCTCTGTCTGTCTCTCTCTCTAACCCTCTACCTCTACACCTCTCTACCTCTCTTTCCTTTCTATCCTCCCTCTCCTCTCCACCTCTACCCGTCTCTCGCTCCACCTCTTTCTCTCTCTACTTCTACCTCTCTTTTTTCTCTGTCTTTCCTTTCTTTTCCTCTCATCTAATAAAGTTAATGCATATTGTGCTAACTTGATGTCAAGACCATATGAAGTTATAAGCTTTACATTAAATGAAATGCACATTCAATGGTTTGGAATAAACTACCTTGAAAATTTTAAAAATTAAACTGTTTAGGGACATTAAACTTAATGATTATCGGGAATGATGATTATCGGGAATCAGACCAATATTACTTTATTGTCTCACGTAATTTTTTACAAATATGAATTTTACATTTTTGGAATATCTGATTTGTGATATTTTAGTCCATACCGATCATGTGGTTTTCCTGAGCGACTGCAATATTGAATTCAGCAATCCAAAGGCTTATGGATTGAGTATCATTATGGACTCTCAGACTTTTTTCCAACAGAAACAGTTGATAAATCCTCCATCTCAATGCATGGTCCATCCATGCTCTTTTACTTTCAGTACCTAATTGATCTCTTTTTTGTAACGCGAGAATTAAAGATAACGAATTTCGAAATAATTGACGCATCAACAGATCACTATCTTGTCTTGGCTAATATATAATCTGTCTTGGCCCGCTTTGACAGGTATGGTATGCGCTAAAATCTACATTCTATACGTATAGACGTTTTCTCCTGTTCTGTTGACCATATGCTTTGGAGTGATGTCCTGGGGTTTCCGGACAGATTCCAAGGTGGATTTTTTAGTAATTACATTCTGTACCTTTTTAACATTTTCCTCTATTAGAATGGATACAGTCCAGAAAGAGAACGTCGCCTTGGTTAACAGATCCGCCCGGTTTTCGTAAGGGGTATAGTGCTGCAACTGCTCTTACCTTTCTGAATGATCTTGTTCTAATTTTGATAAAGAAAAATGTTCTGCTATAGATTGGTGTCTGTATCATATGTCATGGTGTTTCTATCCATAAAAGGAAAGGATATGTTAAAAAATTTTATACCAGTTACTTGGTTGATAGCGTAGAGGGATTTCACCTACCATTGCAGAAGGCCAAATTCTGCACCCATTCATATGAAATCAGGCGTACCACAAGGCTCAATTTTGAGTCCGACCTGCTTTAGCTTATATGTGGCTGATATGCACAATTTAGACTTGTCTACCATCCTTACGTATGCTGATGACACCCAGCTATTCTTAGCGTTCTCTCCGGAGAACCTTAATCTCGCGCTGAGTGTCCTCGAAGTGTACATCACGAAACTCTCCGAGTGGTTAAATATAGTCTTGTTTTGAACCCGTCTAAAACTGCTTTCATCATTGTGAACCCTATTGAAAGTTTTGGTGACACAAGAGGTATATAAATTGTTAATGGTACAGATGTACTAACTGTTGATGCCGCACGTCATTTTGGCTTAATTCTTGACTCGTCCTAGAAGTCCGACATATATCTAAAGTACGTTCTTCTGTAGATGCCCGACTGAGAACTTTATACTCTCTTAGAAAATGTTTTCCAAGTAAGCTAAAGTTATATTTCACGTATTCCATCTCTGTTTAACTTTGCGGATAATGCTTATGGTCCGGGATTTAAAACCCTTTAGATAACCAGACTTCTAGGTGTGGAAAGTACATGTCTGGGATTCTGTTAAAACTCAAAGTATGAGCTCATATCTCTGGCGATGCAGAATTCAGGTTGGCTGTCAGGTTGGCTACCTCAAGGTAGAGAATCTGGCTACATATATTTAAACTTAACGTTCTTAAAACTTGCAACCGACCTTATCTTTGTGATCTTGGGAGATTGGCACACAAGGAGGTCATTTTGCACAAGATCATGTAAGGTATCATTTCTGGCTTGTTCCAAGTAACTATTTACTTCCTTTTATTTGGCCTGGCACTTGTTTAACCAGTTACCAGATGGATGTTTGGAGATACGACACAACCAGCTATTTTCTATCCTGCGTTTTATTACTAATTTATGATAAAATAACTTTGGAAAAAAGTCATGAATCGTTTGTTGCTATAGCTTTAATTTGAAGTTTTTAAAACCTTTTGTTTGGCACTAATACAATCTTAGATCCGAGTCATTTACGGTGACTCAGTTTTTTACTGTAACTTATACGATATATTTTTATACACATTTTATTTGTATTATTCATATCTTCTGTATTGTTTATTATAATCAAATTTAATCTGCATGCTGTGTATTCTTTGTTTTAGGCTTTTATTCTTTTTCTTTGAAGCCACAAATTTTACCTTTTTATATATACAAGAGTGATTTCCAGGTTCGTTTAAAAAACCGGATTTCCTGAATCGAACGTGTGCAAATGCAAATTTATTATATATTTTTAATTGTATGTTTGTTCAAATAAAGCTTATGTCACAATACCTCTGCCTATGCAAATCTACGCCGACAAAAATCTTTGAATTTAAGGGGAAGAGGACCTAGACGAAATTTCTGCTACCAATTTCTGTGAATTCACCGCGTGAAATCGCGGGAATGAGAATTGTTTATTTGGATTTTAATATAACTACGAAACATTTTTAAAGTTAAAAGCATAAAACATTAACGCACGTTATGCCAAAAGTCGTTTTAGAATATCAATACAAAAAAGTGAACATTTCTCTAATAAATAGTTATAGTCACTAGAGACTAAATACTTAGTTATTATGTAGCAGAAAGTAATACGTTATTTTTTATAAATTTTCTGCTTTCAATTAAAAATTTTTAGTAAATTCTTTAGATCAATATGAAATCTTCTAAGAATATTATAGTTTTCTAAATTTTATTTTTTTAAATGTCACATTTTAGCAAATCTTGAAAAAACTAATAATTCAAGTTTACAATGTTAAATCTATAATATCTATATTCTACACATTTCTGTTATTGCTCACAATTTCATTACATTTTCAAAGTCATCCAAGTTTGGAGTTTGAATAATAATGGTAAACCTTCAAAATTTACATAAGTTTATTTATAAAATGTCAATTTACAATACTAACTTTGTTTTAAAATCCACTATGTTGCTGGAGATGTCACATTAATAAAAATCACAACGATTCCGGGACAATTCTCCCTAACTTCATGTTTCTGGTATCAAACGCATGTGAATCTTCAAAGCACATCTTGTTTGATATTACGTTACATATTAAGTTTTCATATAAAAATATGTTCACGTGCGATAGAATGAGGCGTACGTAAAGAGTTTACAGGTCTGTGGCATGGCCAAGGGAACTTTAGCCATATTGAATATCAATTGAGATAATGGCAATGAACGGACAAGTAGAGTGATGAAGAATTATTCAAGTGCATGGAAGTCTGAGTAAATAGATATTAATACAATAAAATAAGCTTTGATTAGGTAAAAATTATGCATAATCCGACAGAAGTAAAATATATCTCAATGGTATCATTAACAAAGATCAATTAATGTGACAAAATCTAAGTAGAGTGATAGTTACACTTAAAAATACTTCACTAAACAATTACAAAATTAATAGATTTAGAAATTTGATTTTCAATCCATAAAAGACATCTCTCAAAATTACGTCATCGCTGAACTACCGAAAGTCATTGTCATTTACTTTTCGGAAAACATACTATACATTTCCATTCCATTTTTAACAAACTTTTACGCATTTCCTTCGAGCAGCGTATGTCGGTTGTCTACTGCTGCCCAAAATAGTCCTGAATCTTCTTTTCTTGTCCATCCTCAAACTGAATCACGGCATCAGAACTTTACCTATCATAGACTACGGACAACATGTGTCTGCTTCACCAATATCCACCCTGTCTCTTCCTCCGACTAAGGCAGCGTCAGGGCGGGCGCAGGCAGTAAGAATGGGCGATGCCGACCAGGCTGCCCGTGGCGCCAGCGGCCAGGAGTCCGGGCGCAGCGCAGCGGCCGCGCATGCTGCGCTTGGCGCCGGCGGGCAGGCGTCGGGCCGGGGCCCACGTTAACTCGCTGGGGGACAGGTATTTGCCACTTGCATGGGATAGAATAGTTTGATTATGGCGCTGCGGGCCAGGTGGAACGGCGTGAAACCGTTCACTTCACGAGCGTTTTGGTTGGCCCCCGCGTACAGGAGCTGTTGCATCGCACCGACGTTTGTGCTCGCGGCGGCCGTGTGCAAGGGCGTCCAGCCGTCCACGTCCACTGCTTCGATTGGCGCGCCGGCCGCCAGGAGCGCGCGTGCGCACTGGCCCGTCCCGTCGCAGGAGGCGGCCGCGTGCAGGGGAGTGGCGCGGTCCGCATTGCGAACGCAGATGTCGGCGCCAGCGCTCAACAGGAACATTACCACTCCCAGCCTGCGCATTCAGGGGGAAAGAAAGTGGCATTTTAACCTTCTTTTCAAACAACAGAAGGAGTTAACGGGTTTCCTCCAGTAGCGCTCGGTCCTTAGGCTGTGTCATTCACAGAGAATTAACACGAGAAAAGTTGCAGACAATTTTTAACTCAATACATTGACTCGTTTAATTTGTGCAGGTCACCAGCGCAATATTGTAGGACGAATTTAGTTTTGTGTCCGCTTTAACAAAGCTGCAATGTTTTTAGAACCCCTCCGTAGCTGAGGCATACGAGGTAATGGAAGCTTTACGAGTGGTTGTACTGGGAATTTGGTGGGAGCGGTCTGCTGCTATTATGGTTTTGTTCGGAAAGTCCGCGCCTATTAACTTGGCTAAGAATACCGACCCTTACCATTTCATTTCATAAATTACCATTTTCTTTGCTGGAACTATTTTTTAAAAAATATCTTTTCGCGTGAGCATAATTGTATTATAACGTAAAAGTTGTTTAGGAGAACTATTAAAATCCAGATGAGGGCAAATTCGTTTTATATTACATACTGTGGTTTTCCTGTTTCAAGAAATATTAGTAGGAAGTAAAATGTATGTGATAGCTCTGACAAATGCCGCCCCCTCTTAATTTCCAACCCAACGGCCGCCAATGGTTTCGTCTGAGCTCTGCTGGAGCATTGTAAACGATCATCCGGTCTCCAGAATTCATGCGCGAATCCGTGAACATGGTATTGTGATTCTGAACGTCAACGTCAGGGCCCGGCAACTCCATCAAAATTTGGGACAAAGCTGGATATTGGTACTACAGGATGCGCTGGTGTCGCCGTATATAGCTGCTGGCAAGGCTCGCCAACTTTCCCACATAAAAATTGGTCAAGAAATATGAACACACATTGATGAGCGATTTCTGAAGTAAATAACAAAAGAAGTTATATACTGTGTGTATCTTCTAAAATTCATGTATTCATAATACACGCATGAAAGAAAAGGTAGCGCGAACAGCGGCGCGATCTTTTGTATCAAGCGCGCGTGTTCGCGTCCCGAGAACCCACGCGCGTTTTAAATAACGTTGGTAGCAATTAGTATTTTAGTTCGTGTAAGAAGGTGATACTCTAGAGCGCGCCACTAATGGTCCCCACCACGTTACATGGGAGTTATAGGGCCCTGGTCAGCGTGAACGAGACGCACCTCCCGTTGCCTGCGGCGCAGTGCAGCGCCGTGTTGCCCCGGGAGTCCATCGCGTCGATGTGGACGCCAGCGGCCAGGCACGCCTGCACCTGCTCCAAGTCGCCCGTCTCCGCCGCCACTATCAGCCTGGCCGACAGATCCGTGTCTGCGCGGCCCTCCCCGTCGTCCACATTCTCAGGCGCCGAGCAAGACGTAGAGAAGGAAGACTTGGAGGAAGAGTGCGACGTTGGGTGGCAGCTGCCGTTGGTCGGTGATGAGTCGGCTGTAAGAGGGGCGGGAGCGGCGGCGGAAGCTGTTGCA